TACAGATATCCCCCAAATATCAGAACAGTACAGATATCCCCCAAATGTCAGGACAGGACAGATATCCCCCAAATGTCAGGACAGTACAGATATCCCCCAAATGTCAGAACAGTACAGATATCCCCCAAATGTCAGGACAGGACAGATATCCCCCAAATGTCAGAACAGGACAGATATCCCCAAATGACCCCTTTTTGCAGAGTAGACAGTCTGACGTACTTCATAAGAGGAATGGCAAATTTTTTGAAGTTGTATTTTTTTTCTCATAATTTTTCAGAAAATTAAAAAATTAAAAAAAATATTTTCACTATTTTTTTTTTTACATACTGTCACCAGTGCAGTACAGCGTCATCATATAACTGGCATGGTGGTGAACAGGGACACTGACTGGTGACAGTATTAAAAAAAATAAAATATATATATATATATTTTTTTTTATTATTATTATTTTAATTTTGTATTACATTTTTTTTTTTTTTTTTTTTAAGATTTCTTTTCATATTTTACTATGACCAAAGTAGTACAATGTTACCATAGTAACATTGTACTACTTTGGGGAAGTGATCAGTATTTTTTTTTTTTTTAAGAATTACTTTGCTATAAGGAAGCATTTACCTGAATGACATCGATTCATTCAAGTTTTTTTTTTTTTCTTTGTGGTTAGCTGTGATTTGGTCAAAGCTAATTATATGACATGTGCATGTGACCTGCTGTGACCATTCACAGCTAGGCACTAGTATACAATGGATGGCATGAATGAAGCCACCCATTGTATACAACTGTCATGTGACCTACTGTGATTGGTCACAGCAGGTCACATGGTACCGGCAATGGGGGCCGGTACTCAGATCTGTCATCGGCCGTGTCTGAGGTACATGGCCGGTGACAGATCGCGCCTCTGCGCGGCTCTGAAACTGCGCGAACTGCGCATGTGCGGGAGGACGCCAAATGGCGTACCCCCCGGAAATCTAAAGCATTTTTGCAGCTGCCAAACGGCTATAGACCGGGCGTGTATTGGTTAATCACTAAACCACACCAATTGATGCTTTTAAATATTCAATATTATATCCAATCAGCTGCCACTTTAAATTACTATGTAAAACTTATTCCAAAAAATACCACTCCTAATATTAGTGATAATTAGCGGCGCACTATATATATATATATATATATATATATATATATATATATATATTTGTGTCACACTAATTCCTTTTGATGATCTCTGTGTGCAATCTTATTTACACAAATATTAAGTGACATAAATTCTATGTGACAAAAAATAAACAAATTATATAAGTTATAATAGTGCCCACAAAACACCGTAAATATACATCCCTGGTGTAATCAATAATGAATTACAAAAAAAAAAAAATTGTCCAAAAAAATCTCCCACTATGTGAATCCTTTGCGACTCCCAGTGCAGAAATAAATAAACCACGTGCTGTGCTTCTCATACCCCCCCTCTTAGGTGCGCTCTCACCAGAACATAGCCTTTAACTACCTCCCGCCCACCATATAGTACAATGAGGGGCACAAGGCAGTTCCCTCATTTTGGGAGGACATCATATGATGTCCTCACATTCTCACCGCACATGCACGGCTCCTGGAGCGCGCAGCGTGACGATCCACGGTGCACTGTGTCCCTTGGACACAGCGGATCACCGATCAATGGAAAGAGCCGAAGATGTCGGCTCGGTCATGTGATCAGCTGTGTCCTATCACTGCTGATCGCATGTAAATAGGGAAATGCTGGTTATCGGCACTTCTCTCCTCATGAGCTGTCACGCTGACAGAGGAGAGGAGCGGAGAGCCGGTAATCGGCATTCCTCGGAGGGAACATGTACACTGATCATCAGAGCACTGATGATCAGTGTGCCCTGATGATCTGTGTAGCCCCAGCAGTGGCACCTCATCAGTGCCTATCAGTGTGACCTATCAGTGCGCATCACTGCAGCCTCATTAGTGCACATCAGTGAAGGAGAAAAATCACTTATTTACAAAATTTTATAACAAAAACTAAGAAAACGTTTTTTTCAAAATTTTTAGTGGTTTTTGGTTTCTTTAAGAAAAAATAAAAAACCCAAAGGTGATTAAATACCACCAAAATAAAGCTCTATCTGTCACCAAAAAATAATAAAAAATTCATATGGATACAATGTTGCATGACCGCGCAATTGTCATTCAAAGTGTGACAGAGCTGAAAGCTGGAAATTGGCCTGGGCAGGAAGGGGGTAGAAGTGTCCTGTAGGCAGGAAGGGGGTAGAAGTGCCCTGTAGGTAGGAAGGGGGTAGAAGTGCCCTGTAGGGAGGAAGGGGGTAGAAGTGTCCTGTAGGCAGGAAGGGGGTAGAAGTGTCCTGTAGGCAGGAAGGGGGTAGAAGTGTCCTGTAGGCAGGAAGGGGGTAGAAGTGCCCAGTAGGCAGGAAGGGGGTAGAAGTGTTCGGTAGGCAGGAAGGGGGTAGAAGTGTCCTGTAGGCAGGAAGGGGGTAGAAGTGCCCGGTAGGCAGGAAGGGGGTAGAAGTGCCCTGTAGGCAGGGAGGGGGTAGAAGTGTCCTGTAGGCAGGAAGGGGGTAGAAGTGCCCAGGAGGCAGGAAGGGGGTAGAAGTGCCCTGTAGGCAGGAAGGGGGTAGAAGTGTCCTGTAGGCAGGAAGGGGGTAGAAGTGTCTGGTAGGCAGGAAGGAGGTAGAAGTGCCTGGTAGGCAGGAAGGAGGTAGAAGTGCCCGGTAGGCAGGAAGGGGGTAGAAGTGCCCTGTAGGCAGGAAGGGGGTAGAAGTGCCCGGTAGGCAGGAAGGGGGTAGAAGTGCCCGGTAGGCAGGAAGGGGGTAGAAGTGCCCGGGAGGCAGGAAGGGGGTAGAAGTGCCCTGTAGACAGGAAGGGGGTAGAAGTGTCCTGTAGGCAGGAAGGGGGTAGAAGTGTCTGGTAGGCAGGAAGGAGGTAGAAGTGCCTGGTAGGCAGGAAGGAGGTAGAAGTGCCCGGTAGGCAGGAAGGGGGTAGAAGTGCCCTGTAGGCAGGAAGGATGTAGAAGTGCCCTGTAGGCAGGAAGGATGTAGAAGTGCCCTGTAGGCAGGAAGGGGGTAGAAGTGCCCGGTAGGCAGGAAGGGGGTAGAAGTGCCCGGTAGGCAGGAAGGGGGTAGAAGTGCCCTGTAGGCAGGAAGGGGGTAGAAGTGCCCTGTAGGCAGGAAGGGGGTAGAAGTGCCCGGTAGGGGAGGGGTTAATGAGCCTTATTGCATAAATTCCAGAAATCAGGGTCATCAGAAAACGGCCTTTTTTCCACTTTATACAGACTCCAAATTGTTAAAACCGGGAGGTTCCTCCAATAATCATCCATGATAAGAATGGTAGCCAAGATCATAATATATATTCCTCTCCATAGTTATATATTTTTTCTCTTTCTCTGTAACTAAGGAGAGGAATATATATTTATGCAATAAGGCTCATTAAAGGCTCTGTTCTGGTGAGTGCGCACCTAAGAGGGGTGTATGAGAAGCACAGCACGTGGTTTATTTATTTCTGCACTGAAAGTCACAAAGGATTCACATAGTGCAAGATTTTTTTGAACATTTTTATTTTTTTAGACAATTTTTTTTTTGGGGGACAATTTTTTTTTTTTTGTAATTCATTATTGTTTACACTAGAGATATATATTTATGGTGTTTTGTGGGAACTATTATAATATATATAATTTGTTTATTCTTTGTCACATATAATTTTATGTCACTTAATATTTGTGCAAATAAGTTTGCACATAGAGATCATCAAAAGGAATTAGTGTGCCACATATATATATATATTCTGCGATCTTACCAGGCAGACATAGACACTCCCCATCACCTGCATAGAGAATTGGGGGGTTCTGGTCCCCCCACCATGGTCACATGTCACTGCAATGTGCTGAGATGTTACCAGGCAGACATGGACACTCCCCATCACCTGCATGGAGAAATAGGAGGAGGAGAGACTTCAATCTACAGAGGGTTGGTGGGATGATGGTGTCGGGGAGGATCTGCTACACTAATAACTCTCTTAGTTATTATTTTATACATTTCAGAGGTTTGTCAGGACTAATCACTTCCCTCATCTTATTTCCAGCCAAACTGAAGAAGAAGATGACACACAACAGATTATCAAGTTAGTAGGACATCAACTTTTCATATGGAATCTCTTCTGGATGAACATTTTGTTCTGTTGTAGTCAGGATCAGTGGTGGAACTACCAGGGTCACAAAGGTTGTACTAGCAGCTTGAGTCACATTGATTAGGATGTACCCCCTGAAATAAATGTGTTTTGATTTGTCATGTGACTTTGTGTCATACGGCACATAAGTGGCAGCAGTGTGAACCGGGGCTTATAAAAGGCCCCATGATGGGAGTTAGTGAAAAATGCCCCAGGACCAATAGAAAGGGCCCCAAGGCCAATAGAAAGGGCCCCAGTGGTCAGGGGGACCCTTCATGGTTTCTCTTTGCTCCTCTGCTCTGGCTGGTGTGTCCATAGTTTGGATGCTTCCACAATCCTCCAGTATTTCATGAGATATCTTCTGTTAGGGTTCCACTCTTTGGGTTTCTAGTTAGAATATAATATTCCCAACTCTGTTGTATAAATACTATTTCATGTGTGTATGAGGAATAAAATATTTTACTTTCTCTCATAAAGACTTCAGAAAGAAACACAAAGTGTCTATGAAAGAAGCATTCCAGAAGATTAAAGAATATAATTCCTGTAGGGGGGAGACTGTTCATCTACAGAAAAGATACATCAAGTTACCAATGAGAAAAGGACCCCAGAAAAAAAAGGGAACAGAACAAGAACTAAGGAGTTCAGGCAGAAGACATCTACAGACCATGGAGAAAAGACCTTCTGATGGATCCTCCCCAACCACAATCCAGGCCCTCTTTGACCCTGATGAAGTTGGTTGTATCCCTAAGATTGTGGTGTTAGAAGGACCTGCTGGGATTGGTAAAACAATGACCTCCAAGAAGATCATGCTGGACTGGGCCTCTGGGAATCTCTACCAAGACAAGTTTGACTTTCTGTTTTATCTGAGCTGTAGAGAAATCAACACCATCCCTGGAAACATAAGTCTTGTGGGACTTTTATCCAGAGCCTGCGGACTAGAGAGTTCAGATGACCTGGCTTCTCTTCTAGAGGATCCTGAAAGTCAAAGAAAACTTCTCTTTCTAGTTGATGGGTTTGATGAGCTGAGATGGACTCTGGAGGAGAAATCTGAGGTTTGTCATGACGTTTTAAAAGAAAACCACAAGGAAATAATTCTCCAAAGATTGCTCAGGAGACAGGTTCTCCCACATTCTTCTCTGATCATCACCACAAGGTCACTGGCCATGAAGAAACTTAACACATTCATTGATGATCCTCACAATGTGGAAATCCAGGGATTTACAAGGAATGATCGAGAGGAATATGTCCGTCAATTCTTTGGAAATAAGGAAGATGCAGACAAGGTTCTCGGTATAATAAAAGACAATGAAGTTCTGTACACCATGTGTGCCGTCCCCATCACATGCTGGATTGTCTGCACTGTAATGAAACAAGAAATAGAAAAAGATTTGGGTTTAATTCAGTGTAAAACGACGACTTCAATTTACCTTCTCTACCTGGAGGTTCTAATAACCCATCACAGCAAGGAGCAGTCTGTACGCAGGAAACAAACCTGTCTGAAGAAGCTGTGTGCTCTGGCCAATCAGGGAGTTCTGCAGCAACAAATCTTATTTGAGAAGAAAGATCTAGAAAGACATGGACTTTCTCTGTCTGAGGTGGAGTCTGTATTTCTGAATGAGAACATCTTTCATTGGGACGTCCGCACCCAGACCTGCTACAGCTTCATCCACCTGAGTGTACAGGAGTTCCTTGCTGCTCTGTATTATGGGCTGGATGATGGGTCTATGGAAGGTACTTTCCTCCCGGAGATCTGTGAAGGGGAATCACTCCGTGGCCTCATTTCCGATGACTCACATTTATCATTAGCTGTACAATTCCTGTTTGGTCTCCTAAATGAAGATCAGGTGAAGACATTCTCAGAGATCACAGGAATCAACATCTCACTCCGAGCCAGACCTGCCGTGATGGAATGGGCCAAGAAGGACATTGATCGGAATCTCTATACTCAGACCATCTTCTGTCTGTATGAGACTCAGGATGAGGACTTCATTAGGAGCGTCATGTCTGGTTGTTCACGTCTGAAGCTGGGGGGCTCATCTACTGATCGCTTCTTGATGAAAAGTAATTATTCCAAGCAGCTGAGCTATTGCTTGAAGGCTTTGAAGAGAGAAACTTTTCAGTCTTTATCTTTTGCGTGGCTCCCTGTGGATCCAGAGTGCCAGAAAATGCTGTCTCCATTCCTACACAGGTGTCAGGAGGTCTGGTAAGTGAGTGTGAGGATATCCTAACTGAATGTAGAGAATGGGCAGGAACCTGCATACAGTATAACGGGGATTATCAGACATGTTCTCCATCTACCACACGTGTTAGAAGTCCTGGGAACTCATTCTTTCCTCAGTCCTCTGCCCTGGGTCACACTGGTGGGATCTTTCCAGCGACATTCTGGTGACATGTAAAGTCGCAGGTGAAATGAAAACACGCAGATTTTATGGGGTTCTCTCTTAATTGCTGCACCTCTAGTCGCTGCAACAACAAAAAATACTTCTTGTTCTACTTTTGGGTGATTCTTGAGCTTCACGCCTCCCATAGACTTCAATGTAAAATCACCAGCAAGTCATACATTTGTCTTCATCTTTGTGGTGACTTTGCTGCGACTTCTGAGGCAGTGCTTTATTTACCCCTCACCTCTCCTCCCTGGTCATCCTTGTTGCCTAAAAAACTTCCTCCCAAGCACATCCCATTCACACCTGAGCGTAAAAGACACGCAGGTGCTGCGCACATTTTTCTGCATTTTTCATGTGTAAACATACATCTCGTATGGTGAAGCCCATTCACTTGAACAGCACAGCAGCCCACAAGAGAACACATGCGTTGCTGTGCATTGTGAAACATGTGTGGCAATGCGTGTTGTGTTTGCGCTTCTTCTCAGTAAAGTGGCCCTGAAGTGACCCCTGGTCACCAGGAAGTTGGAGAGCAAAGTGGAGATGGAAGTCGCTGCGACTTTCATGTCAGGAGAGTGAGAACCAGAGCTAAATGGCCGATCCACAGATATCACCTGATACAGGACTTCTGGGAGAATCCCACCATTTACATCAGATTAACCCTTTCCCTGCCCCTCCCCCAATTATACCATTCATCACACACATGATCACATGTCACCCACATGTACCCCATCCCCCAAAACTCTGCATGTACTTGTAGCAGAGGATCTGGAGGAGAAAAAGATGGTCTTTGTGTGAAGGATTTACAATTTGTGCCGAAGTCACCAAAATTCCCGGCAATGTTTGTAATATGTGTGAGATGTCAGCTTCCATCTGTGGCCTTTCACAGGGTGAATGTAACATTCCCTGACATTCCATCCTAAGAGAACATTGTCCTAAGAACATTCGACCAGAAGAGCGAATAATGTGTGGAAGAGCTGAGCTCCGTGTATGGAGATTCCTGAGCTCCCCACTGGCAGTGTCATGGATCCCATACTGCAGAGGGAACCGCCATACCGAATCCAGGAGATCGATCTCTGTACATTGTATGTTCCGTATAGGAGATCGATCTCTGTACATTGTATGTTCCGTATAGGAGATCGATTTCTGTACATTGTATGTCCTGTATAGGAGATCGATCTCTGTACATTGTATGTTCTGTATAGGAGATTGATCTCTGTACATTGTATGTCCTCTATAGGAGATCGATCTCTGTACATTGTATGTTCTGCATAGGAGATCGATCTCTGTACATTGTATGTTCTGTATAGGAGATCGATCTCTGTACATTGTATGTTCTGTATAGGAGATTGATCTCTGTACATTGTATGTTCTGTATAGGAGATTGATCTCTGTACATTGTATGTTCTGTATAGGAGATTGATCTCTGTACATTGTATGTTCTGTATAGGAGATCGATCTCTGTACATTGTATGTCCTGTATAGGAGATTGATCTCTGTACATTGTATGTTCTGTATAGGAGATTGATCTCTGTACATTGTATGTTCTGTATAGGAGATCGATGTCTGCACATTGTATGTTCTGTATAGGAGATTGATCTCTGTACATTGTATGTTCTGTATAGGAGATCGATGTCTGCACATTGTATGTCCTGTATAGGAGATCGATCTCTGTACATTGTATGGTCTGTATAGGAGATCGATGTCTGTACATTGTATGTCCTGTATAGGAGATCGATGTCTGTACATTGTATGTTCTGTATAGGAGATCGATCTCTGTACATTGTATGGTCTGTATAGGAGATCGATCTCTGTACATTGTATGTCCTGTATAGGAGATCGATCTCTGTACATTGTATGTCCTGTATAGGAGATCGATGTCTGCACATTGTATGTTCTGTATAGGAGATCGATCTCTGTACATTGTATGGTCTGTATAGGAGATCGATCTCTGTACATTGTATGTTCTGTATAGGAGATCGATGTCTGCACATTGTATGTCCTGTATAGGAGATCGATCTCTGTAGTAGACGATTCAGTACACTTAATATTTATGTCTTCTGACCATCAGCTCCATCTAGTGGCCATAATGCAGTATTTTCCGGATTCACTCTCTTCTTATGACTGGAGATAAAATCTTCTCTAACTCTTCAGGTTGAATGTAATTGGGGCGATTTTCTCTTCTGATCGAATGTTAGGGAATGTCACATTCACCCTCTAAAAGGCTAAAAGGCAACATTTCACACAGATTCCACACATCACAGAGATGATTTGTGACTTTTGTGTGAATATTGAGCCATTCACAGGGCCCTTCTATAAATAATCGCCCCAACAATGATTTCTAGGGCACACACACCATCCAATCTCCAATCTCTCCATTAAATCCAGTATAAAGGACGAGGCTGTGTGGAGATAATAAATCACAAATCTGTCCAAAGGTCGATCTCTTGTGAAATGGTGAGAAACTCGTCCGGAAGGTTCCCTCTTCATTCCCCCTTTTCCTATCTTCCAATATACAGCACAGACCCCCAACATGAAAGGATGATAGCGGGGGTCTTGTTATTATCAGGACACATATAGAGGGTTCCCCTAAACCTGTATGGGGGGAGATGAGTGGGGGAGGGGAATGATGACTGCAATCCCTCCCATCTCACTTCATAGCCCCCAGTATTGGGATATTATGTCCCATCAATAGATTCTATGACCTCCCCAGTGTGTCTGCACCTCGTAGAGGTTGTCCAGTGTTCAGCAGTGGTGCCGACTGACCTATCGCCCTCCTCCTGCCGGGTCAGGTGTGAGCTGCGAGTCATTCATTGGTGGACAGGAATGGGTGTGTGTCCAGCCAATGGAGGGAAAGCTTAGTGTTCAGAGATCTGGGGGAGGGAAATAATTCCAGGGGTGTGACATCATCACCCTAACATTGGAGGGACCAATTGTCTGCAGAAGTGGGCGGAGATGGGAATGTCTGGACTGCATTGTATATGTTAACCAAAGTGGTGTTCCAGGATTTCCCAGAATGTGTTGATGAATGGAACCTCTTGTGTAGGTAGTCCGGAGATCCTGTATATACAGTACATATATATATATATCAGGGGCATCGAACGTTTTGTCTAGAGTGTGACTTCAAAGATCGGTCATAGCCACCAATGACATCAGGACCAGCATGAGAGTGTAGAGCCGGAGGGAAGGCAGCCATGTGGGAGGGAAATGTTGGGTGTTACATTGTTATCGTGTTGTCAGAGGTCATACATTCCTGGTGGTAATTATTGTCTCATTGTTGGTTTCAGGTTTCTCTTATGTAATATTTCCAGTAAAGATTGTCCGGGAGAGGACAGAGCAGAAGATGATGAAGTGTCCTCCTCCTCAGAAGATGAATCGGATCCTGCTGATCTTTCCTTTCTGATGAACCCGGAGAGTAAAATTCAGACATTACGGTAAGTGAGATCTGTGATCCTGCAGTGATGTGACGTCTTGTGATTGTTCCCGTCTCTCGGTGGTTCCTGATATCTCTGGGTGTCCTCCATCCTCACCGATGTAGAATCTTCCATCACCTTCCTCTTCTCATGTCTTCTCCTCTCTGAGGGAATCTTTCTCTCTGTGATCTCCTCCATGGGATTTGGGGTTCTCCTTGAAGTAGACCTGTGAGCAGGCTTTGTACATATGGAATGAACATCCCTATCCATAACAAGCAGGAAATAGGATCCAATACAAACCCTTAGGGCTCGTTCTCACGTGTGATTCTGAAGGAGGAAGCAATGCTCACTAACACTTCTCTGGCATGATGACGTCTTTTCATTGTGTCTATCAATGCTAAATAAATAAATCGCTCTCACTATCGCCGCGTCCTCTCCCTCACTATCGCCGCGTCATCGATCTCACTATCGCCGCGTCATCGCTCTCACTATCGCCGCGTCATCGATCTCACTGAGCCTTTAAATGGTCTCTCAGTCTGGATCAGTGGGAATCACAATCATGGGAAAGACTGCTGGCCTGACACCATCACTGACACCCTCCATAAGGAGGGAAAGCCTCAAAAGGTCATTGCAGAAGAAGTTGGATGTTCCCAAAGTGCTGCATCAAAGCACATTAATAGAAAGTTATGTGGAAGGGAAAAGTGTGGAAGAAAAAGGTGCACAAGCAGCAGGGATGACCGCAGCCTGGAGAGGATTGTCAGGAAAAGGCCATTCAAAAGTGTTGGGGACTTTCACAAGGAGTGGACTGAGGCTGGAGTCGCTCTCACCATTTAAATTGCATTACTGAAGTAAATGAACTTTTGCACAATATGCTCATTTTTCGAGTTTCACCTGTAGATTAAAAAATCTGATAATTTAAAAAAAAACAATATTTTCTACTTTCGGTTATAAAAAAAAATCCAGTAAACTAAAATTTGTCATAAGTTTTGGCCAAAATATATTCTGCTACATGACTTTGATACAATAAATCCCAGTAATTGTATATTAATTGGGTTGTGTGTAAGTTATAGCGTCTACAGACTGTGGTATACATATGATGAAGATGGCAGCCGGGGCTCTCCTGGCGCCGGCAGCATGACGTCACAGCGCTGTAGTCCCTCTCTGGCGCATTTCGTGCAATGGCACGTAGTCATAGGGGGTGACGTCACGCCACCGGCGCCTGGAGATCCCCAGCGGCCATCCTCATCTTTACACATGGTCAGTGGTTTTGTCCCTATTGTTTTGTATGGTACTGTTACAGAAGCGTAGGCAGGACAGAGCACACGGAGAAGATGGGAACACACAAAGCTTTATTGAAACAACAAAATGACAGACACTCAATGGGGAAATGGCAGGGAGGGTGATGTGTTCGCAAACTAGGGACGATTCCGGGCACGGGGGGTCTTCGGCGACAGGCAGGCAACCCACCCCTGGACAGGGGTCTCGGGCAATAGCAGGCAATCTCCCTCCAGGCTTGAGACCTCAGCCGAGCTCCCTCCATGACTGGACAGCGGATTGGGGACTCGGGCCACAGGCGGGCAACCTACCCCTGGGCAGGGGTCTCGGGCAACAGGCAGGCAATCTCCTCCCTGGGCTTGGGGCCTCAGCTGAGCTCCCTCCATGACTGGACAGCGGATTGGAGACTCGAGCAACAGGCGGGCAACCTACCCCTGGACAGGGGTCTTGGGGACTCAATGGGACTCTAGCTGTGGCGTCTGGCCTGGTACAGCTCCCACCCAGCTTTCTAGGGACATCGGGTTCACGGGGACTCAACGGGTAGCGATGGCTCAAGCACTCAGGGGCATCACAGGTAGCTATACTCCGGGCACGCCATGGGGCAGTTCAAGTAAGGGTAGTCTAGGCGTGTAGTAGGGCAGTTCCTAACCCAGGTGGTCTGTGGGCACTACAGGGCCAGCTCAGGACACGGGTGGTCGGTGCACACAGCAGTGACAGTTCAAAACACAAGTGGTCGGTGCACACAACAGGGACAGTTCAAAATACGGGTGGCCGGTGCACACAGCAGGGACAGTTCAAAATACGGGTGGCCGGTGCACACAGCAGGGACAGTTCAAAACACGGGTGGCCGGTGCGCACAGCAGGGACAGTTCAAAACACGGGTGGCCGGTGCGCACAGCAGGGACAGTTCAAAACACGGGGGAGGTCGGTGCGCACAGCAGGGACAGTTCAGGACACGGGTAGTCTGTGTGCACAACAGGGAAAGTTCAGGACACGGGTAGTCTGTGTGCACAACAGGGACAGTTCAGGACACGGGGAAGGTTGGTGCACACAACAGGGACAGTTCAGGACACGGGGAAGGTCGGTGCACACAACAGGGACAGTTCAGGACACGGGGAAGGTCGGTGCACACAACAGGGACAGTTCAGGACACGGGTAGTCTGGGCGCACACCACAGGCAGTTCATGGCTTCTAGGGACAATCACGGTAGGTGACATGCAGACGCTCAGCAGCAGGCGGCTTCCAGGGACCCTCACAGCAGCCGGCTCCTCCAGGGGCCTAGCAATCAGCAGCAAGGGCCCTCACGGCAGCCTGCTCCTCCAGGGGCCCAGCGACCAGCAGGCAGGGGCCCTCACGGCAGTTGGCTCCTCTAGGGGCCCAGCGATCAGAAGGCAGGGGCCCTCACAGTGGCTGGCTTCTCGAGGGGCCCAGTGACCAGCAGGCAGGGGCCCTCACAGCAGCCAGCTTGTCCAGGGGCCCAGCAATCAGCAGCAAGGGTCCTCACAATGGCCAGCTTCTCCAGGGGCCCAGCGATCAGAAGGCAGGGGCCCTCACAGCGGCCGGCTTCTCCAGGGCCCTGTGACCAGCAGGCAGGGGCCCTCACAGTGGCCAGGAACAGCAGCGGGGGTAGCATGGCCGCGGGGTCTGACCTTGGAAGAGGGGGCTCATGCAGAGCTGCAGAGACTCCCACCCTGGGACATTCAGCGGATGAAGCAAGATGATTCCAGCAGTGTGCACAGGAACAAAGAGGGCAGCTGATTCCTGTGCCAGTCTATTTAAAAAACCATGTGGGACGCGGCCGGGTTTCCTCGGCAACGGCCGGCCCACCACCATTCATGGAAGCTACATGGACATCGGAATGTGCAAGGGGGGAGGGAGGGGTGGAGGGATATGGCGGGGGATGGGAGAGGCACTGGCACTCCGTGACAGGTACATATGGAATAAACGGTTCCTGTCAAAAGAATATTACACTCTTTGGCCTCCTCTGTTTTTTGGGGCTCCTTGTGAGCTGTCTATATCTGCAGGGCAGCTTCTCCTAGTGTGCCAGTGTGTACCAGGCAGTGAGGGGTACCAGACCGGACCAGACCTGACCCACATAAAGATTTCCAGTGTGATGAGGTTATCATCTCTATATGCGCATTTTGGTTGCGTATCTGGTGAGTGCGCAATCTTTTCACAGTATTTTCACATCACCATATTGGATTTAATTACTGGATTTTGAAGATCATCAGAGATCTCCTATGCACCTTCATTGTGAACTATGTTGGGTTGATGTGTCCGGCACTATTCACTTTATTGGTCACTCCTTAGTGGCAATTTATCTGCACATTGTCACTGGACTTATTATTATATTTCTGATTATATGACATATTTTGGATAAAGCATGTCTATTTCATTTATGTGAGATATTACGAGATTTTATAAGTGGATATTTTAGCGCTGCACCCTGCTTTTTATGTTTTCATGCTGAATATTTGTCTGCAGCCTTGGACCATCCCTCTGCCTTCCACGTTGACTGACCCTGGCCTGGTTACTGACTATGCCTCTGCCTGCCGTCTGGATTGTTTCTAAACCACGTTTCTGCCTTCCACCTGCACTGACCTCGGCCTGTTAATCGGCCATGTTTTTTGCCTGACGCTTGAACTGGTCTTTTGCCATGCTACTGTAGTAATGGGTGCAAGATAACACCGGGGTCTCACATATGTGAGGGGCTTCAGAGTAGAGAGAACCAGTTTTTGGTTGTCACCGGTGATAGGACTGATGTCTGTCTGTAGCCAACCTGTCCTCGCTCCTCTTTAGCACCGGATCCGGGGAAATAAAGCCATTGACACAGAAGTGTTGTCAGCCGTATTTCTGAAGTGTAATCCGATGTGTTCGGGGTAATATACAGAAACAAAATAGACGTCTCTTAGTCAGGATAACCAATAAAGCATTACACTCTTATCAGTATAGTTATGTGAAAACAGAAACTACAGAAGCTGAGGGGCCCCATATAAGATATTTCCCTTTACACAGAAATGAGAGAAAATTCCTGAGAAACAAAACCTAAGCTGTTCCATATCTAACATGGAGGCATTATATAGAATGGATGCCAGTTTAACCACTTGCTGAATGACGGCTTCACTGCGGCTGGCCAGTTCTGGGAGGGTGTCATATGACGTCCTCCCAGAACACGCCCTCCCGCGTGACCCCAGCAATCTTTTACCAATCACAGCAGCCTTTTACCATGTGATCAGCCGTGCCCAATGACACAGCAGATCACCGGGAAATACAGTTGCCAGTTATCGACTGCACTTTCCTCACACTTTCAAAACATGAGGAAAGTACTGCCAATAACCAGAAATTGTAGCAGTGCCACCCACCAGTGCCCATCAATGGCCACCAGTGCCACCCACCAGTGCCCTTCAGTGCCGTCCACCAGTGCCACCAGTCAGTGCCATCAGTCAGTGCCACCCATTAGTGCCCATCAGTGCCTCTTATCAGTGCTGCTTATCAGAACCCATCAGTGCTGCCTATCAGTGCAGCCTCATCAACGCACATCAGTGAAGGAGAAAGATTAACTGTTTGCAAAATATTATAATAGGAACAAAGGAAAACCTTTTTTTTTTCAATTGTTTTGCTTTTTTTTTGTTTATAGTGCAAAAAACCCCCAGCGGCGAGTAAATACCACCAAAAGAAAGCTCTATTTGTGTAAAAAAAAAGATAAAAATTTTCATATGGGTACAGTGTTGCATGACCGCACAATTGTCATTCAAAGTGTGACAGTGCTGAAAGCTGAAAATTGAGCTGGGCAGGAAGGGGGTATAAGTGCCCGGTAGGGAAGGGGTTAAAGATACATCTCCTTACAACCGGGATTTGTAATTCCTGGATCAGAGTCTCTTAGTCCGGAGGCTTTGAAGTGATTGGGTAGGATAAAGCCTCTACCCCTGTGGCCGGGTCTTACGTGACTGAGGCCTTAAGCCTGATGTTCCTTCCTGCTGCCTGGACCAATACTGTGCTGTCCATATCTCTGCCTGCTGCCTGTATGGACCCAGGACTTTTTATGGACCATGCTCCTGCCTGCTACCTGAACCAGTTCATTGGCTGTGCTGACCATATCTCTGCCTGCTGCCTGTATGGACCCAGGACTTTTTATGGACCATGCTCCTGCCTGCTACCTGAACCAGTACATTGGCTGTGCTGACCATATCTCTGCCTGCTGCCTGTATGGACCCAGGACTTTTTATGGACCATGCTCCTGCCTGCTACCTGAACCAGTTCATTGGCTGTGCTGACCATATCTCTGCCTGCTGCCTGTAATGACCCAAGACCTTTTTTTGGACTATGTTCCTGCCTGCTGTTTGGACACCAAGTCCCAAACTATCTTGCCATGTAGTCTAGGCATCTGGGGGACTCCACGTGACTATCTTTTCCCTTGTAAATCTGAAAATGACATGTATAGCCTGTTGCCATCTCACAGGTCTTCTACATATTGACCCCAGATCTGGTACACTTGCTGGGGAGATACTGTTTGAATGCAAGGCGGCCAGAAAAATTAATGAGGGACTCATCCAGGCAGAAGTTTTGTTGGGCAGTATAGACATTATAAGGTGATTTACGAGGGGATACAATCAATTTCTGTCTGTCTGTAGCCCAACCTGTCCTCGTTTATCTCTTACCACCGGATATGAGGAAATAACAATCTCCTAGATTGTAAGCTCAAAAAAGCAGGGCCCTCGATCCCCTCATGTTTTGCATTGTATTGGTATTGTTCTGTCACATGTTCTGTCCCCCTTTGTAATGTACAGCGCTGAGCGAACTATCGGCGCTTTATAAATACTGTATAATAATAATAATAAAGCAGCTCTCCACACAGAAGTGTAAAAGAAGTATTTCTAAAAGTTTAATACAAAGCAAGAGAAGATCTACAGAAACTCAACAGGCATTTCTAAATCAGGATAACCAATGAAACATTCTACTCTTCTCAGTATAGTTACGTGAAGAACAGAAACTGCAAATGGCTGAGAGGTGCCATATAAAGTGCATCCACTTACAGAGAAATGAGATTCATTCCTGAGAAATGAGACTTACTGCCTACATGTTGTAGGCATATACACAGTGTGTATCATAGATATAACTATATATATATAATATGAGGAAATGTACTGTATATACATTCATGGATGTGAGGTTGGCATTCATAGTGGGCCAGATGAAGTGCATATTTTACACACCAAAAGGATAGCCAAGGACTCCTTACTATGTTAATATATGTACGCGGTAATGACCTTCCCTTTGTTGTGTTGGGGTAACCTGTGTTTGGGTACATATGTGGAGTGAAGTGCTTGTCATTGTACTGAATGGGAAAAATGTGTATATCAAGGAAGCTTCTTTTTGGTTAAGAGACACAGATGACAGGACACAGGAAGGTTCTCTGAAGGGTTCTAATGATTGCCTGTCATCTGCCTCATCTGTACCTCCGCTGGGAGAGGAGCTTCTTCCTGTCATTAATATGGGAGGACAGGTATAGATCATAACTCCCATTATTGCATGCATGGAAGTGACCTCGGTGCATATTACAGATCGGACATATGATGGACGGTGTCGGATCTCTATGCTTGATATGAAGGATCTTACATGGGACTCTGAGGGTTGTTGTTATTATTATTATACAGTATTTATAAAGCACCAACAGTTCGCTCAGCGCTGTACATTACAAAGGGAGACAGAACATGCAACAGTATGAAAACAATACAATGTGATACATGAGGGGTTCGAGGGCCCTGCTTTTTCAAGCTTACAATCTAGGAGGGAGGGGATGGTGGCACAGGAGGAGAAAGCTGTGGGGAATGGAGTGGTAGGAAGAGTGGAGGAGGTCGGCAATTAGCAGGGGGTGGGGTAGGCTTCCCTGAAGAGGTGGGTTTTCAGGGTGCGCCTAAATGAGAGGAGAGTAAGTGATAGTCTGATTTGGGTAGGGAGTTCCAGAGGATAAGCGATGTCCTGGAGAAATCCTGGAGGCGGGCATGGGAGGAGGAGACCAGGGAACTAGAGAGAAGGAGGTCTTGTGAGGAGCGGAGTGTGCGTGCTGGGCGGTACTTGGATATTAGGTCAGTGATGTAGTTCGGGGCAGTATGGTGGATGGCTTTGTATGTCAGTGTTAGGATTTTGAATTTGATCCGTTGGGCAATCGGAAGCCAGTGGAGGGATTGGCAGAGGGGGGTGGCGGAAACAGAGTGGTTGGTGAGGTGAATGAGTCTGGCTGCCGTGTTCAGGATCGACTGAGCGGGGATAGCCAGCGGCGAGGCAGGCCAGTGAGGAGGGAGTTGCAGTAATCGAGTTGTGATATGATGAGGGAGTGGATGAGCTGTTTAGTGGTTTCTGGGGTTAGGAACGTGCGGATTTTGGCGATGTTGCGGAGGTGGAGTCTGCATGAGTTTGTTAGTGATTGGACTTGGGGCTGGAAGGATAGGTTGGAGTCCAGAATGACAACAAGTACTCTGGCTGGTGGGGTGGGCCTGATGGTGGCATTCTTGGATGTGATGGAGAAGTCAGTGGGGGGGTGGGATCCGGGCTGGGGGGAGGACAAGGAGATCAGTTTTGGAGAGGTTCAGTTTAAGGAAATGGAGAGACATCCAGTCTGATATGTCGCTCAGTAGGCTTGTGATTCGGGCGGAGACTGAGGGGGTGAGGTGAGGGGTAGAGAGATAGATTTGTGTGTCATCGGCATAGAGGTGGTAGTTGAAGCCGTGAGAGTGTATGAGTTGGCCAAGAGAGGAGGTGTAGATGGAGAAGACAAGGGGCCCAAGGACGGAGCCTTGAGGGACCCCAACAGAGAGGGGGAGTGAGGGGAAGGTGGTAGCATTATAGGTAACGCTGAAGGAGCGTTGTGATAGGTAGGACGAGAGCCAGGAGAGAGCAGAATCTCTGAGGCCGAGGGAGTGTAGTTTTTTGAGGGGGGGGTGGTCGACTGTGTCGAAGGCCGCGGAGAGGTCGAGGAGTAGGAGCACTGAATAGTGGACATTAGCTTCGGCGGTTAGAAGGTCGTTGGAGAGTTTGAGTAAGGCAGTTTCGGTGGAGTGGAGGGGACAGAAGCCGGACTGTAGGGGATCGAGGAGGTTGTTGTCGTTGAGGTGAGAGGTGTTCATTGTAATATTTACAAATATTCAGCCGGATTTCTGTCATCTGTAACAAATATCTTTATCCGAATAAATGCATCTCTCTAGAATACAACTATTAGTTGCTGCAGGAAAGCACATAGATAAATGCACCCTGGTCATCTGGAGAAGGGCTGGATCTCCATGTTTGATATGAACTATCTGTTGCAAATATCTTCATCCGCTCAGTTTTATGGATTGCTATAGTTGTGTTCATAATTTAGGACAACATTGGTGCCGTGACCCGGATTAGTTGTTACATTAATGTTAAGACAACACTGACCAAGTTCCCCCTGAGTCCCCCTATGTCAGGCCTTGTCTGCTCCTGTTCAGTATCTGCTCATCATTTCTCTGTGTGATCTCAGTAATGATATGGGAGACATTCTACTCCAGAGACAAGCTTCCTACAGAGTGAATGGACTGCTGGAGAGATTTACACCCCTCCCCCTTCCATGGATCATCAGAAGGGGATTTACTGACTTTTCTCACCTTGATGATGGAACCCCATTATCTTCTTCCTTCTTTCTTTTCTATGAGTTTTATGATGACCATACCCTAAGAGTTGTTGGTTCTTTCCCTAATATACTCTCATGTGTCTGTATTTGTCTCTGCAGGTTGGTGAGATGTGGTCTGACTTCCTCCTGCTGTGATGATCTCCGCTCCATTCTTATCACTAACCCATCCCTCACCAGACTGGATTTATCACGTAATAATCTCCAAGACTCTGGAATGAGACGTCTGTGTGAGGGACTCCGTCATCCTGGCTGTACTCTGCAGTACCTAAGGTGAGAATTCTACTATAAATGATCTCATATTCTGCAGGACTCTGATATAAATCTTCTATGTGAGGGACTCCGAGATCCAGGAGATGAGGGGAGAATTCTACTATAAATGATCTCATATTCTGCAGGACTCTGATATATATCTTCTATGTGAGGGACTCCGAGATCCAGGAGATGAGGGGAGAATTCTACTATAAATGATCTCATATTCTGCAGGACTCTGATATAAATCTTCTATGTGAGGGACTCCAAGATCCAGGAGATGAGGGGGGAATTCTACTATAAATGATCTCATATTCTGCTGGATTTTGGGATAAATCCTTTGTGAGGGATCCAGACACGTTCCCTAGATGACAGTTATACAAAGACAGACTTCTTGGCAGGTTACACTGGGAGACGCCATCATAGTCCTTCAGGTCACTGGCTGTTATTGCCTTTCATCCATTCCACCCTCCACTGACTATCAGAGATCAGACTTCATGTCTGTCGAGGTGGATTGTTGTTTGGATGATATAAAAACACAATGAAGTTTATTTGGCCCATAGAGACTGAGTGATGACATTTTGTATCCAATAAACACGTCCAGATCTATCCATCTACCAGACAAATGTTGTGTTGTAGTCTTGTTTGTAGAACTTAGAACATCAGATGTGTACTGACTAGTAGGGATGAGTGACTCTGCCCTGGTTCAGTTCCCTGCAGGGTCCCACTGAAGGGGGAAGAATGAGCACCCCTCAAACCATACCAGGCCACATGACCTCAACTGGGGGGGGGGGGGGGGGCTTTTGGGCAGGGGGACTTCCTCCCAAAACAGCTTGTGCTCATGTTGATGGGAACAAGGGCCTCTTCCCCATAACTCTTGCCCAATAGTTGTGGGGGTCTGCAGGTGGGGGGCTTATAGGAATCTGGAAACTGCCTTCAAAGGGGGCTCCCAGATCCCAGAAACCTCATGTGAATGAGTATGGGGTGCATAGCAATCCTACTCAAAAGAGAAAAACAAATACAATCTAAACTGAGTGATTAAAAAAAAAAAAAAAAAGAGCTGAGCAAAATGTTGGCGCTATATAAATCCTTAATAATAATAATTCACAAAAAAAGTGTCAAAAACTAAGTAAAAACACAAACCTAGTTTTTCACAAGTCCCTGATAAAAAAGAGAAAAAAAAATCTCTCCCCAGTGCCATTAGTACAGTGTCAGTGTTTTTTCTTTTTTTTTGCACTGATCACTGTATTGGTGTCACTGGGATGTCAGTGACCCCAAGTCAGTTCCCCCCCAGTGTCAGAATGTCCACCGCAGTTCTGTCATAAGTCACTAATCGCCTCTATTATTAGTATAAAAAAAAAATCCCAGTATATATACACCACCATTTGTAAACGCTATAACTTTCACGTAAACCAATTAATTTACACGTATTGGGATTTTTTTTAGCAAAGACACGGAGCAGAATACATTTTGGCCAAAATTTATGACGAAATTTGATTTTTAAATTTTTTTTTACTGGACATGTTTTATAGCAAAAAGTCCAAATATGGTTTTTATTATTGTATTTTTTTTTTTTTGCAAAATTGTTGGTCTTTTTTTTTATAGCACAAAAAATAAAAAACGCACAGGCGATGAAATACCAAAGAAAGAAAGCCTAATTTGTGGGAAAAAAAGGAAGTAAATTTAATTTTGGTGCAGAGTAACATGACCGCGCAATTGTCAGTTAAAGTGGCGCAGCGCCATAACACAAACCACTTCTGTAATCGCTTCCTGATTGCCCTATAGTAGAAATACTGCTACTGCGTGACACGGGTGCACAAAATCACATAGATATACATGATTCACGCTCCCGCAGTTTTCATGCCTCTCCCAGATAGCGTCAGATTGCCCGTCAGTACACCAGTCATCACATTTAACCCCTTGATTGCCAGGAAGACACTCATACACAATAAACCTCCATTGCTAGTATAGTGTCTGAACGGATCAATATCTTTGATCAGATCAGCACTATACCAGCGTTCACATTAGTATAGTATCCCCCAAAAATGCAGTGTTAGCGGGATCAACCCCAGCACCTGCCAGCACCTGCATTTAGCCCCTACGCTTACCCCCCTTCTCCCCCAGCAAGTGCAGTGTCAGTAGGTCACTGTCACTTGATATATTGCACACAAAACCGCAGTGTTGGCAGAATCAGGCCTGATTTCTGGTAGCATTTGTCGGTAAATTCTGATGACTCTCATATGCAGCAGAGTGCCAGTACTAGTGCCGCGCTACCTTTTGGTGAACTGGCGAGTACCAGCGGCCTAGTATATCCTGGTTTTTCACATACCAGCACTGCAGTATCACTTGGTGATGTGGCAAGTCCCATAAATGCAGTACAAGCTGGTGCCGTGGTGAGCACAACAGGGGCAGACTGACAACTCATGGGGCCCCCGGGCAATAGGGGATCATGTGGCTCCTGTTTCCTTGCCCAAACTCAAAAAAGCCTATGAAAAAGCTACCAGGGGCATCTCATGGGGCCCCCTACTGACCCCGGGCCTTCGGGCAGTGCCCGAGTTTCCAAATGGTCAGTCTGCCCCTGGAGCACAAGTATTGTCCTGCAACCACCAAGAATTCTCACACAGCCCCTTAAAACCCTTAGTATCCTTCTGGATGTGCTTGCAAATCCTGATTGGCAGCCCACAAATTCTGCAGCACCTGTACTTCCCCTATTCACTGCCCAACCCGGAATTCAGGTGGAAACAGCAAATTTAACTCCTCCCCTTGATTTTTTGGAGCTGTTTTTTTTTTTTAAAAATCTGTATGCATTGATTGTGGATCAAAGCAATTTATCACCGCCAACAGTTTCTGAATTAACTTTTTTTTGGGCCTAACCCTCAACATGGGCATTACCCAAAATGAATTGCGGTTGTATTGGTCCACAGACCTGATTCATCATATGCCGTGTTCTCTACTGCCATGGCCAGGCAGAGATATGACAGTATAATGTGTTTTATGCATTTCAATGACAATGCACTCTGCCATCCTCGGGGTGACACTGAATTTGACGGCTCCACAAAATTCAGCCCCTCGAAAATCACCTTAGCCAAAAACTTGCAGATGTCTATACTCCCCAACAAAAAATCTGCGTTGAGGAGTCCCTCATTAATTTTTCTGGCCGCCTTCCATTCAAACAATTTCCCAGCAAGCGTGCCAGATATGGGGTCAAGATGTAGGAGACTTGTGAGAGGGCAACAGGCTATACATATAATTTTTGGATTTACAAAGGAAAAGCCCCCCTGGATGCCCAGACTACATGGGGAGCAGTGACAAGATAGTTTGGGACTTGGTGTTATTCCTCTTCCATATGGGGTACCACTTATACATGGACAATATTTATTCATATGTGCCACTATATAGACATTTGTATAATCTTGGAACTTTCGCATTTGGCATCATGTGACCTAATGTGTGCCCACCATTAGAAGGGGGTGGATTCAGGGCGGTATATTCTAATGGTGGGCATACCACACACTTTCTCTGGCAGAGATTTCTTCTCTTTTTCATTCATCCTACAGGCTGCATACAAAAAAAAGAACATAGCATACAGTGAAGGAAATGCATATTTGCTCCCCGGCTGATGTTGAATGTTTGCCCCTCACAAAGAAATGATCGGTCTAAAAATAGAGTGTTCGGTGTATTGTAACACTGAGAGACAGAATACAACAACATATTCAGCAGAAATGCGTCTAACAAATGATGACGGATCTGCATGTTCATGAGGGAAAGAAGGATTTGATCCCCTTCACAAAACATGACTTAGTACTTGGTGGCAAATCCCTTGACGGCAATCACAGAGGTCAGATGTTTCCTGGAGTTGGCCCCCAGGTTCGCACACATCTCAGGAGGGATTTTGGCCCACTCCTCTTGGCAGATCCTCTCCAAGTCATTAAGGTTTGGTGGCTGGCGTTCAGCAACTCAAACTTTCAGCTCCCTCCACAGATTTTCAATCGGATGAAGGTCTGGAGACTGGCTAGGCCACTCCAGGACCTTAATGTGCTTCTTCTTGAGCCGCTCCTTTGTTGCCTTGGCCGTGTGTTTTGGGTCATTGTCATGCTGGAACACCCATCCACAACCCATTTTCAATGCCCTGACTGAGGGAAGAAGGTTCTCATCCAAGATTTGATGGTACATTGCCCCGTCCATCGTCCCTTTGATGCGGTGTCCCCTTAGCAGAAAACACCCCAAAAGCAGAATGTTTCCACCACCATGTTTCACAGTTGGGATGGTGTTTTTGGGGTCATAGGCAGCATTCCTCCTCCTCCAAACACAGCGAGTTGAGTTGATGCGAAAGAGCTCAATTTTGGTCTCCTCTGACCACAACACTTCCCACCAGTCCTCCTCTGCATCATTCAGATGTTCAGTGGCAGACTTCAGACGGGCCTGGACATGGGCTTTCTTGATCAGAGGGACCTTGCGGGCACTGCAGGATTTCAGTCCTTGTCGGCGTAGTGTGTTACCAATTGTTTTCTTGGTGACTGTGGTCCCAGCTGCCTGGAGATCATTGACAAGATCCTCACGTGTAGTTGTGGGATGATTCCTCACTGTTCTCATGATCATTGACACTCCACGAGGTGAGATCTTGCATGGTGCACCAGACCTAGGGAGACTGACACTTGTTTTGTGTTTCTTCCATTTGTGAATGATTGCACCAACTGTTGTCACCTTCTCACCAAGCTGCTTGGCCATAGTTTGGTAGCCCAGTCCAGCCTTGTGTAAGTCTACCATCTTGTCCCTGACATCCTTGGACAGCTCTTTGGTCTTTGCCATGGTGGAGAGTTTGGAATCTGATGGTTTGATTGCTCCTGTGGGCAGGTGTCTTTTATACAGGTAACAAAATGAGATTAGCAGCACTCCCTTTAAGAGACTGCTTCTAATCTCAGCTTGTTACCTGTATGAGAGACACCTGGGAGCCAGAAATCCTGTTGAATGATAGGGGATCCAATCCTTCTTTCCCTCATGAACATGCAGATCAGTCATCATTTGTTAGACACATTTCTGCTGAATTTGTTGTTGTACAGTTGCAAGAAAAAGTATGTGAACCCCTTGGGATTACGTGGAGTTTTGCATGACTTGGGCATAAAATGTGCTCTGAACGTCAACAACAAGAGAAGAACACAGTCTGCTGAACATAATACTACACAAACATTAGATGTTGCCATGGTTTAATTGCACATAACATGTAAACATGCACAGTGCAGGGAGGAAAAAGTATGTGAACCTTTGGACTTAATAACTGGTTGACCCTCCTTTGGCAGCAATAACCTCAACCAAACGTTTCCTGTAGTTGCAGATCAGACCTGCACAACGATCTGGAGTCATTTTGGACCACTCCTCTTCTATTCTTGGGATGTCTGGTGTGAATCGCTCTCTTAAGGTCATGCCACAGCATTTCAATGGGGTTGAGGTCAGGACTCTGACTGGGCCACTCCAGAAGGCGTATTCTGTGCTGTTGCAGCCATTGTTTTGTTGAATGACTTGTATGCTTTGGGTCATTGTCCTGTTGCATCACCCATCCTCTGTGGAGCTTCAGTTGGCGGACAGATGGTCGTACGTTTTCCTGCAAAATGTCTTGATAAACTCTGGAATTCATTTTCCCATCAATGACAACAATCCGTCCAGGCCCTGAGGCAGCAAAGCAGCCCCAAACCATGATGCTCCCTCCGCCATGTTTCACAGTGGGGATGAGGTTTTGATGTTGGGGTGCTGTGCCTTTTTTTCTCCACACATAGTGTTGTGTGTTCTTCCCAAACAACTCAATCTTGGTGTCATCTGTCCACAGTATATTTTGCCAGTAGTGCTGTGGAACATCCAGGTGCTCTTTTGCAAACTTCAAACGTGCTGCAAATCTTCTTTTTGGCCAGCAATGGCTTCCTCCGTGGTGTCCTCCCATGTACTCCATTCTTGTTTCATGTTTTCCTTATTGTAGATGTGTCAACGAAAATGTTAGCATGTGCCAGAGATTTCTGTAGGTCTTTAGCTGACACTCTGGGATTCTTCTTTACCTCATGCAGCATTCTGCGCTGTGCTCTTGCAGTCATTTTTACAGGACGACCACGCCTAGGGAGAGTAGCAACAGTGCTAAACTTTCTCCATTTGTAGACAGTCTGTCTTACCGTGGACACATGAACATCAAGGCTCAAGGAGATACTTTTGTAACCCTTTCCAGCTTCATGCAAGTCAACAATTCTTGATGGTAGGTCTTCTGAGAGCTCTTTTCTGCGAGGCGTGGTTCACATCAGACAGTGCTTCTTGAAACCAGTAAACCCAAAACAGGTGTCAGCAACACATCCAATATCATCACACTGATTGGAGTCAAGGTTGGCTCACTCCTGGCTCCAATTAGCTCTGGGAGAAGTCATTAAGCTAGGGCCTCACATACTTTTTCCTCCCTGCACTGTGAATGTTTACATGTTATGTGCAATTAAACCATGGCAACAACATCTAATGTTTGTGTAGTATTATGTTCAGCAGACTGTGTTCTTCTATTGTTGTGACTTAGATGACGTTCAGAGCACATTTTATGCCCAATTCATGCAAAACTCCACGTAATCCCAAGGGGTTCACATACTTTTTCTTGCAACTGTATTCTGTCTCTCAGAGTTACAATACACCGAACATGCCATTTTTAGACTGATCATTTCTTTGTGAGGGGCAAACATTCAAAATCAGCAGGGGAGCAAATACGCATTTCCTTCACTGTGTGTGTGTGACATCCCCAGTGACACCAATACAGTGATCAGTGCTAATTAAAAGGCCTGACACTGTACTAGTGGCACTGGGCAGGAATGGGTTAACATCTGGGGACAATCAAAGGGTTAACTGTGTGCTGTGTTACTCTGTGCTGTGCAGAGCCATCCAAAGCAGTGTGCACAAGCTGAGAGGGAGGAGAACTGTTATGTTTACAAACAGTTCTCCTCCCCACCGGAGATCCTCAACATTCACCGAGCAAAATCACACACACACACACATATATATGTGCATGATTTTGCCTGGTGAATGCTGAGGATCTCCGATGGGGAGGAGGAGGACTGTTTGTAAACAAATCAGTTCTCCTCCCTGTCAGCTTGTGCACACTGCTTTGGATGGCTCTACACAGCACAGAGTAACACAGCACACAGTTAACCCTTTGATTGTCCCCAGATGTTAACCCCTTCCTGCCCAGTGCCACTAGTAGTGTCAGGCCTTTTTATTAGCACTGATCACTGTATTGGTGTCACTGGGGATGTCAGTGACAAGTCAGTTCCCCCCCAGTGTCAGAATGCCCACCACAGACCCGCTATAAATTGCTGATCGCCGCCATTGCTAATAAAAATAATTTAAAAAAATCCCAGTATATATACCGCTATTTGTAAACATTATAACTTTCATGTAAACCAATTAATTTACACGTATTGGGATTTTTTTTTTAGAAAAAAACACGGAGCAGAATACATTTTGGCCTAAATTTATGATGAAATTTGATTTATTACATTTTTTACTGGACATGTTTAATAACAAATAGTCCAAAATATTGTTTTTTTCTCAAAGCTGTTGGTCTTTTTTTATTGCACAAAAAATAAATAAAACACACAGGTGACCAAATATCACTGAAAGAAAGCTCAATTAGTGCGGAAAAAAGGACATCAATTAAAATTTGGTGCAGCGTTGCATGACTGCGCAATTGTCAGTTAAAGTAACGCAGCGCCATAATGCAAAAAATGGCCTGGTCAGGAGGAGGGGAGGGAATCCTCTGGAGGGCAGATCTTCCACCTCCTGATTGGTTGGATAGAGAACTCCAAACAAAACACAAAGGCCACCAATACTGAAGTACGTCCTTCAAAACAATTGTCTCTTTATTTACAATAAATGGTCTGACAAGCAATAATATGTCTGCCTATCAAGCACCCGATTGGACAGGAGATAATATTGCTCACTGACACCACTTCCTGTGTCAGTTCCAGGCAGGAAATGACATCACTTGACTCCGCCTGAGGGTGGACTACCCAATTGATTCCTCGATATGCCGACATATTATCATTGCTTGTCAGTGCATCTAGCAATCCTCATGGATTTTGCTGCATGGAGACGCAGGTCAAGTAGAAGTCCCATTATTTCCTATGTGGCCGGTTCCCATCTATGTGCCGCAGGGAATCTATATGGAGCCATTCCCCCTCCAATGTGTGCATCACCACGTACGCTGCAATGTGTCCATCCACACTAAGACTTCTCAGGTGGGTGACAACTCCCCTCCATCTCACAGGGGAGGTCCAACCAATGTTCCATGAGATCATCCATCCAAATGGGCCAACATTTCATCTTCTAAGACCCCGCCCACTGATTATCCATTGGAATGTGTCTACTTCTGCCCGTCACTGGAGAACATCTCACCTCTCTTTCCTGCTTCTCCCACCAGAATATTATGGTGTGATGTGACATTATGGTGCTGGGATGATCTCTGCTCCGTGATCTCCACAAACCGAACTCTGACCAGACTGAAGGTGACATTGCATAAGGAGGATGGTGAGAAGATGTCGTACTCAGAAGTGGATCCTCGTTGGCAGGTCCTCCGGAATGCCGGCTTCACTGTGGATAGAAGGTAAGATCTGTTCTATTGGGGGGAACACACATACTGGGGGGATTTACTAAAGCTGGTTTCCTCAGAATCTGGTGCAGCTGTGCATGGCAGCCAATCAGCTTCTCCCCTCAGCTTGTCCAATGAAGCTTTAGCAATAAAAGCAGTAAGCTGATTGGTTCCCTCGCAGAGGACAGGTATAGGAGCCCCAGCAACTGGACTGTAGGACCATCATGGTGATAATGATGATGATCATTGAAGGAAGGACAGTGAAATGTAAGCTGGCCACAGATGGTTCAGATCTCGGCCAGTTCAGCAGGGACCAGCTGAGATTTGAACCATGTATGGGCAGGCTGATTGTACCCAAGTCAATGGTTGAATGGGTTGTGTACTCCAGCCTGTGGGATTTTACATGCAATTATTGCTAGCAGCTAGTATGGCCACCAGCAGTAATCATTGTGTTGTCCAGGCAGGGATGGTTCCCCCCGAGATGTTTACCATCGTAAGTTATACAGTCGCTCGGCAAGCAGGTAGACACAGACAGAGCATGCTCTGCTCTATGGGCGGTTGGAGGTAAGCGGGTGTAAGCAGACACAAGTCCCTCTACATCTGCCACTCCATAGAGGTGAATGGAGGGTCCACCTGAAAAACGGACAAGGACACCCAATCTGACCGATCGTGTGAAAGGGGCCTTAGTGTTTAGGGGTATGGTAAAAATGTGCAGCTCAGCTGTGAATTCTTACCGCCCCCAAATGCTCCCGCATATACTGCAAAGCAGTGGAGGGGGAATAGTATATACCATGGCCCTGATGATTTATTATCACCGCTGTTCTGTTGGCCCTCAGCCCGCTCCTGTTTTCCCAGGCTGTCCTGCTGTACGCGGATGAGTTGGCAGCATACAGAGTGGGGGGAGGGGAACATCCATGTCTCCCCCCCCTGTGATGAATGAAGCCGGAAGCTACAAGGATTATGTCACTTCTGGGTTTAATTCTGTGTTTACCTGACTGATAACAGCCAGGAAGGCAGCCAATCAAAGTGATTTGTGTATGATCAGGTGCCTTAGAGGGCAGGGGAGGGGTCAGGGGTCTAATAGACCCCATATATCTCCATAAAGAAGACCTGTCACTGCCCCATCTATCACAAGGGATGTTATTCATCACCTGTCATAGCAATACACCGCGTTCCAAATGATTCTGCAAATTCTATTTAAGTGTCACAAAGATGAAATCTTTTGTTTTTCAGTGTAACTCATGGATGGCATTGTGTGTCAGGGCTCTTTTGATCACTGAAAACAATCTGGGACACCTGTGATAATTAGATTGGCCGGTGAGCCCAATTTCAGGAAAAACTCCTAAAGGACGGCGTTCCCCATTATTAAGCAGAACGCCATTTTCAAGCAATATGAGGAAGAAAAAGGATCTCTCTGCTGCCGAAAAGAGTGAAATAGTTCGATGCCTTGGACAAGGGATGAAAACATTCGATATTTCATGAACACGTAAGCGTGATCATCGCACTATGAAGAGATTTGTGGCTGATTCAGAGCACAGACGGGTTGGTGCAGATAAAGGCACATTGAGGAAGATTTCTGCCAGATCCATGCATTGGATCAAGAGAGCAGCTGCTAAAATCCCATTACATAGCAGCAAACAGATATTTGAAGCTGCTGGTGCCTCTGGAGTCCCACGGACATCAAGGTGTAGAGTCCTCCAGAGTCCTGCAACTGTGCAGAAACCTTCTATTCGGCCACCACTAACCAATGCTCACAAGCAGAAACGGCTGCATTGGGCAGAAAATACATGAGGACTCATTTTCAAACAGTCCTGTTCACTGATGAGTGCCGTGCGACCCTGGATGGTCCAGATGGATGGAGTAGTGGATGGTTGGTGGACTGCCACCCTGTTCTAACAAGGCTGCGACGTCAGCAAGGCGGTGGTGGAGTCATGTTTTGGGCCGGAATCATGGGAACAGAGCTGGTTGGTCCCTTTAGGGGCCCCGAAGGTGTAAAGATGACCTCTGCAAAGTATGTGGAGTTTATGACTGACCACTTTCTTCCCTGGTACAGAAGGAAGAACTATGCTTTCCGTAATAAAATCATCTTCATGCATGACAATGCACCATCTCATGCTGCAAAGAATACCTCTGCATCAATGGCTGCTATGGGGATAAAAGGAGAGAAAGTCATGGTGTGGCCTCCATCCTCCCCTGACCTCAATCCTATTGAGAACCTTTGGAGCATCCTCAAGCAAAAGATCTATGAGGGTGAGAGGCAGTTTACATCCAAACAGCAGCTCTGGGAGGCTATTCTGACATCTTGCAAACAAATTCAAGCAGAAACTGTCCAAAACCTCCCAAGTTCAATGGATGCCAGACTTGTGATCTGCTATCAGATAAGGGCTCCTATGTTACAATGTAACGTGACCGCTTCAAATGTTTACAAAGTTACAATGTTGGGAAACGTTGGATTGAAATAGCTTTTGATTTCAGTAAATTTGCTGCAAACACAACAAATGACAATTCTCAGTTCTTTACAACCTAGAAAGTGTTTTGAAACTTCCTGTGCGGAATAATCCGGAACACAAATCCTGTTATTAGGAGGTTTGTTCAATAAAAATTGAATTGTACTCTTCTAGTTGTAACCTGAGAATTCTGCCGACTGATATTTACATCAATTATTGAGGGAAATGAGAAAATATCATTTGCATAATAATTTGGAACAGGGCGTAAAGTTAAACAAAACAAATCCCATAAAAAAGCAATAATTCTGGACCCAGACCTCCTGCCTAACTGTAAACTGGTAACCTGTAAAGGCTATTAAAGCGCCCCCTATGGACAATGTTAGGTACGGTACTTTGTTGCCTTTTACCAGATGTGCACAATATTTCATCTTGGTAAGTTTGGTATCTATTTACTCAACACAACATCATATGCTGTACTATTGCTGGGAAGACTGCAAATGCTAAACATAGAATATTTCAAACCAACACATTGCCAAAAAAAAATACAATTCTGCTACTCAAGGGGATTCATGGAGAAAAGTCCTGGGGGCTTAGGGGGTTAAAGAAACACTTTGCCATTCTCCTCTTCCTCCGCGTGGAAATGTTTGTGTAACCCCCCTCTTTACTGTGCTGGTGTATCCACAATGACCATACATGCCCAGCAATTCCAGCATTGTTCTGATTGGCTGCCCCAATGCCACTTGCCAGGTCTTGTGTTGCCGCCTTCTTTTCTCTTTCTTGCAGCCAGCACCTGATGATACACCGCTGTATGTCCCTGCTGCCGCAGTCTCCTGGGATATGTGACGGGTTACATCCCAGGAGGCTACAGGAGCCGGGAAATGTCATATTTGTCTAGGGAAGAAAACCACAGAAAAGGAAAATGACTTTACAGCTAAGAAGTGTCTTAAAGTCATTGGAAAAAATTTTTAACTGCTTCCCATCCGCCCCATAGCAGAAATAGTGCTTTAGGGCGGCATGGGTGCAAAAAATTACGTATATACATGTGGTTTTGCAGTTCTGGGTAGGCGGCGTGCATGAGCTGTGTGCACGCCCTACCCGCACTGCCATTTGTGGCCGCGGCTGTCAATCACCGGGTCCCGGCCGGTAATTACTCGTCGGCGCTCAGTGATTCCCAAGAATCTCCAACAGGGAGGATGACTGTTTTGTTTACTAACAATCCTCCTCCCTGTCAGCTCGGGCACAGCACAGCCATCCAGAGCAGTGTGAGTACAGTGAAGCACACACCCCCCCCTAGTAACACAGACACCATCCCCTAGTAACACACCCCCGTCCCTTAGTAACACAGAGCCTGTCCTGTCCCCTGGTAACATCCCCCACCCCCTAGTAACACACCCCGCCCCCTAGTTAAAACACTCTCAGCACACAGTTAACCCTTTGATCGCACCAGATGTTAACCCCTTCCTACCCAGAGCCATTAGTACAGTGTTAGGGCTTTTTTTTTTTTTTTTTAGCACTGCTCCCACTGTATTGGTGTCACTGGGGATGTCAGTGACACCAAGTCAGTTCCCTTCAGTGTCAAAATACCTGCTGCCGCAGTCCCACTATAAGTCGCTGATCATCGCCATTACTAGTCAAAATTACAAAAAATAAAAAATAAAAAAAATCCCAGTATCTATACCACCATCTGTAAACATTATAACTTTCATGTAAACCAATTAATTTATACATTTTGGGATTTTTTTTTTTTTTACTTTTTACTGGATGTGTTTAATAGCAAAAAGTCAGAAATATTGTTTTGTTTCAAAAAATACTCAGAAGGGCAAGTGGTTAATTAAAATAACAATGAACATATTATACTTACCTGTTCTGTGTAATGGTTTTGCACAAAGCAGCTCGATGGGTGGGTGGGGGTGAGGGTGAGGGGTGGGGCTTGGGGGCCCCATCTGTTAGAAATCATGGGACCCCCGTGCGACCTAACAGTGGCCCTGATAACACCACACACAATGTAACGTTTAATATGCACTCTTCTTCTGAGGTTCATGTAAACAAATCATTGTGAACAGTTCTTTTGTCCTTTGTTCAATCTAGACATGGACTCATCCATTCACCTTACCACTTGGTGTCATGTCTGGTCTTTATCTCGTAGCCGTCTGATCCCACCATACCTCCCCCAGATTTATAACCTGGGAACATAAGCTGTAACCACCTTGGAATGTTCTTAGAATCTGTGTTCAGAAACCATGAAATAGAATATACAGAACAAAAAATGGCTTCCAGCATGTCCATGTAGAGATGAGTTCAGGCCTTCCTGTTTCATTCTGTGAGCCCAGAACAGTTCCCACATTTCTGTAGAACCCATTGGAGGTCTCTGGAGTTATACAGATAATGAGAGAGATGATTGAGATGTCCTGTGCCAGTCACAGATTTCCCAGATGATGGAGAATGTCTTCCTCATCCCAAGTTGTGTCATTACAGATGGGTGGATGAGGAATATATCAGATCCACCACTAATAATCTTAGTCGGGTCCTACAATCTTCCACAAGGTTTTACCTTTAAAGAAAAAGAACTTTCATTAAAAATCCCCCCATCCCCCGCTGTCTATCCAATGTGTCAGTATAACTGAGCCAATCAGATGTGTTCTCAGCCTGTACACATGACGGCCCAGCACACCAGGCGTACAGTCTGATATCCCAATGGTTGGACGGCCATGTGTGTGTGGGCCCCTGCCATGGTGAGGGCCCCTCGGTATTAGGTGGGTAGTTTTAGAAGGTGGTGGGCCCTATAAATGGGGGACACTTATCAAACCCCTAAAGTGTGAGGACAGAGGGGATGGTTTGGTGTATTTGCATACTGGGGTCAGTTATGAAGAGATGAGATCCCACATCCCACCATCTACATCCAATCTACGTCAGATCTCCTCCCAGCATAGGAGACCACTGATGTACATTGTACGGCTGCAGATTTGTACATTACACATCGCACACATTTCCAGGAAGACAGAAGAATACTTCCCATTAGTGTGTATAAAAATGTCCATCATTTCTTCCAGAGCTCAGCACCAGCTCCCCCTTTTCCATCATCACAGCAACATTTCCTCCTCTAACACTCTCATTTTATTCTTCATAGATGGCGTGGAGGATGGGATGTATCTATACACAGAAGAAGATCAGAGAATGGTCTGTGGGAAGTCCTCCCCTCCTCTATAGATAATACATGGACCCTGATATGAAGAGAATGTCCAGAATGGAATTATATCAGATTCTCCTGTTCATGGCACTGATTATTCATCATTTTCCTTTTCTTCACATTCCGATGATGATGAGTCTACTGACTGATATCTACTGACCGTTTTTCCGGAATGATCTGAGCGGGGATCTGTCTTTCCTCCCATTCCTCCATTTTATATTGTATTGTTACTCCTCAATGTATTCATTACTACAAAATAAAAATGTGACTTTTGGATCTTCACACCAAAACTGCTACCACTGGTGAGACCAGCACGCTGGGAAATTCCTGTTCATGACATGAAGATTCCTCCTACACAAGAAGAAGAAGACACTGAACACACGGTGACAGTGCGGTGCGGACAGTGGGGGGCGCTCTCCATAACATATAAAGGAACAATGGGTGGGACAGGAGATTCCGCACCACAAGGACAGAGGTTACCTTCAGAGACTAAGTGGCAAAAATACTGAATATTTTTGTTATAAAAATAATTTGTATTATTTTTTGTGTAGAAAATATATTTTCAAATATAAAACCACAGAAAAAAAAAAACACATTTATCACCATTAACCCAAGACAGTGTTGTCTTCCCACATGACTTCAGACATCCAGATGTGGCCACATCTAATGGGTGGGTCACCTAGACAGTGGGGTGACCCCCTACTGTACCGGCTTCCCCTCCCCCCATATAATAATAAATGACCTCTCAGGAAAACAACAACTGCTATATAAGGCCAGCTGAGGCTACACTATAGAGTGTGTTTATGAGCTGCAACAAGTAACAGACAAAAACAAAGCAATCCATGTATAAAGGAACACATCTAGTGTCATCTTCCAGGATTACAATAAGAATTGTCTCTGATATTGTTCCATCTGCAGATAAGGAGACTAAAGCCGACAGGGAGCAGAGTCCATATGAAGGTCCAGCCAGTGCAGTGTCCCCCTTTTCAGCATTTCCATCGATCGCTCAGCATGGAATCGGCTGTAGAAATGGAAGCTGACAATTGGTGTAGCGACTCTTAGGTCACGCAATGCCACTAACATTCTGATTGTATCTCTAGTGGTCGCTCAGCAGGGTGCACTACAATGTCCAGCAAGCACAGTCATAGTAGAGCTATCAGAAGATAGAGCAGGACAAGCCATAGAGTTCCAGCAGTTCCAGTCCACATGAGATCTTATGCCACATGAATGGTGACACACGTTAGATTGCAATGACCAATTGGCACTGTCATGGCGGAGCAATTGTGAGAGCGAGCAGAGCAAGCCGCAAGATGTGACAGTCAACGTTCATGTATGAGCCGCAGCGGTCTGGGTGTCGGGTCGAATACTGGGCCACAGTTGCCAACATTTCCAAAACGTTTTTAGTGAAACCTTTTTTTCTGAGTGCCCAGAAAGCCCATGTAGGCGGAGCTTGTACTTTAGGGGTGGGGCATTCATTGATTATGGGTGTGGTTCTACATGAACATGACTTCTTTGTGGCAGGCATATATATTCAGCGCCTCCAATGTACGCAGTGCTGTACATCCTGTACATGACATTTCATTGTTAGGAATGTTTCTACTGGAAGATTTCTCATCAGGACAGAAACAGCTAAGAAGGTATTTGGAATTGGGAACATTATTCAGCCATTTGTTTGGCTACAACAGCACTGACTGTAAAGTGCAGCAACCCGACAGCTCTTGCAGAGAATCCAGTGATAGACACCAATGACACATTTTATTTCATTATTACAGGTGCTTATATAGCGCCATCAATGTACACAGCACTTTCCATACAGTATATATATGTACATTCACATCAGTCCTCAACCAGCGGACAATCTAAGGTCCCTAATCACATCCATACACATACTAGGGACAATCTACCTACCAGCATGTCTTTGGAGTGTGGGAGGAAACCCGCACAGGTACAGGGAGAACATGAAGTGTAATGAGGAAATAAAGCCCTTTAAAAGCCTGATGGTACTTATTGGATTTTGGGGTCCTGTACTTGGCTAGACTGCCAAAACGTCTCTCACATGTGGTACCCCCATACTCAGGAGAAGTAACAGAATGTATTTTGGGGAGTAATTCCACATATACCCATGACATGTGTGAGCAATAAATCATTTAAATGACAATTTTGTGTAGAAAAAAAAAAAGAAAACATTTTTTGTTTGTCATTTTCCAAAAAAAAGTGTAAAAAAATAAATTCTTCTATTGATTCAACATGCCTCTCAGCAAATAGTTTGGGGTGTCTACTTTCTAAAAAGGTGTCGTTTTGGGGGATGGGGGAGTTTTATGCCCAGCATTAGAAGTTTACACTCACTCTTCTAACCACCTGAAGACCAAGCCTTTTCTGACACTTTTTGTTCACATGAAAAACATCTGTATTTTTTTTGCTAGGAAATTAATTTAAATCCCAAACATTATATTTTTTTAAAGCAGACACCCTAGTGAATAAAGTAGTGGGTGCTGCAATTTTTTATGTCACATAGTACTCGCGCAGCGATTTTTCAAATGCAATTTAAAAAAAAAATACACTTTTTTTTTTTTTACTTTTAATTTCAACCACTGGGGCTTCAGCGACTGTTGAAATCAATTGGAAGACGCTGTTCCAGTACAATCTGAGAGATTTGCATGTCCAGAGTATATGTAGAGTTGATCCTGTTTCTCCGCATTGTCTCCAACAAGCGGGTGAGTGTTGAGAGTAATATAAAGAGAGTTTTTACAGGTGTTATATACCACGGGTGTAACATTTTCATATATGATGACCAATGAGAACTACATCTAGATGCCTTGTGGGTAATGTTGAAGGTTCTTTCCCAAGTGTGCAGTTGTATTGGTTGTTGGAGAAGTTTCTCCCAGTTGGATAGAGAGGTAGTTTGTAGGGCGAGCTGTGAGCTGGTTATAAGTGTGTATAAGGTTGAAATCCCTTTCTTTGGGTATTGAGTTTTGTTAAGGAATTGATGTACAGTAGTAGGAATGTTCAGAAGATGTGGAACGTTTATTTTTTGTAGGGCGTGAGCTATTCTCATGTAAGTGAAGTTTTCGTTGTCGGGGAGGTGAAATTTTTCCTGAAGAGTCGAAAAGGAGTCTAGTTTGTGGTTTGTATAGAGGTCTTGTAAAATAGATATACCTCGGTTTTCCCATTGTAGTAGTTTTAAAGAGGAAATAAAGAAGTGTAGGGTGGTGATTGGAGTAGGAATTGGTTTGGTATCTGTCAGGTTGGATGTTAAGAGATCATACCAGGCTTGTAAAGAGGCTTGGATGCATGGATGTTTGGGTAGAATTTTGGATTGAGGGGTTTGTGGCAAGAACAGCAAATTACGTGGTGTAGGCGGGAGATGCTGGAGTGTTTCCATGGTAGTCCATGCTTTTTTGTTAGTTGGGTGCCACCAAAAATAGAGTTGGTCTAGAAGTGTGGCATTGTAGTATGATTTTACATGTGAGAGACCTGCTCCTCCCCTAGAAGTTGGGCGTATTAAGAGATTTGTAGTACATCTGGGGTTTTTTTTTTTGAGTTCCAGAGGAATTTGGCAAGTACTGCTTGTAGTTTGGAGAAGAAGGGTATTGGGGACGGGGATGGGGAGTGTGTGGGAATATATAAAGGATTTTGGGTAGAATGCACATTTTGAGGGTAGCTACTCTTCCTAGTTTCCATAGTGTTGACGTGCGTAAATGTTTAAGTTCTTGCGGGATGGATTCAAGTAATAGTTTGTGGTTTGGGGCGTATAGTTGATCAGTCATAGTGGTGAGTTTAATTCCCAGGTAAAGGATCCTGTGGTGTTCCCAAGAGAAGGGGAAATGTTTGATCAGCATTTTCTGGATCTTAGTGGGCATATGGAGATTTAGGATAGAGGATTTGGGCTCATTGAGTTTTTAGTATGATACTTCTGAGTAATTATGAAGATGTGTACGAATCATTTGAAGCGATTTGTATGGATTGGTAATCATTAGTATGATGTCATCTGCAAATAGGCTAATTTTGTGTTCTTTTCTGAGGTGGGTGATTCCTGTGAATGTTGGGTCATCTCTGAGTTTTGAGGTGGGTGATTCCTGTGAATGTTGGGTCATCTCTGAGTTTTGAGGCTAAGGGTTCGATGAGTAAAGTAAAGATTATGGGGGATAAGGGGCAGCCTTGTCTGGTACCGTTGGATATGTGGAAAGTATGTGAGAGTGTGCCATTTGTTAATACTCTGGCTGAAGGGTTGGAATAGAGGGAGACGATTGCCGATAGCATCCAGTCTGTAATTCCGAATTTTTGAAGTGTGAGTTTCATAAATTGCCATTGTATTTGGTTGAATGCTTTTTCAGCGTCTAGGGATAAGAATAAGGATGGTTGTTTGGTGGTTTCTAATTTGTGTAGGAGGGATATGAGTCTTCTGGTTGTGTCTGGTGCTTGGCGACCAGGGATAAATCCCACTTGGTCTGGATGGATTAATGTAGGAAGGTGGGGAAGTAGTCTTTGGGCTATTATTTTGGCGTAGAGTTTTAGGTGTGTGTTTAGTAGTGAGATCGGTCTGTAATTCTGGACAAGTTGGGGATCTTTGGGGGTTTTGGAATAGCTGTGATTATGGATTGTAGCATTTCGTTGGGGAATTCACCCATAGAGGCAGCATGGTTAAAGAGGTCGGTTAGGCGTGGTGTAAGATTAGGGGCAAATGTTTTGTAGAATTCATTCATGAAGCCGTTGTTTCCCTGGAGATTTATTAAGAGGTAAGGTTTTTATAGTTTTTTCTATTTCTGTAGGATGGATCGGGATAGAGATAGAGGTGAGTTTGTGATGGAGTGAGTTGGGGAAGATTAGTGGTGGTTAGGAAGATTTGTATGGATACTGTTGTTGGTTGGGTCGTGTCCGGGTCCTCTTTGATACTATACAGGGTTTGGTAGTAGGTCGCAAAAGCGTTAGCTATGTCTTGTGGATTTGTGAGCGATGTGTCAGTAGTTGGGTGTTGAATTAAAGAGATTTTGGATTTAAGACGTCTTTGTTTGATTATTGTTAAAATAGAATTTGCTTTGTTAC